AATTAGTACAGAATGGGTGCAGCTTGTGAGCTTTGAGTTTGGATCAGGAATACCCTTCTGATGCAAATGTACTGCTGGTGCTGATTTGCATAATGGAATCATAAATAGGAATTTACATCAGGGAATCTGCATGGAGACTGAGTATCATTCAAAGATAAGATAGGAACAGGCGTTGGAGAAGGGATTAGAACAAAGGTGAGGAAAGGTTACCTTTGAGGCTTGTTTTCCATTATGTTTTCCAGTCTTTTTTTTGGTTCTGTGGGATGGCTAATGGCTGCAGTATATCAAAGAAAGACTCTTAACAGTATTACCAGCTATGAACATTATTATCTTAGTGTGTCAAGGGGTTAGAATGGACCTTAGAGATCATCTAGTCCCAACCCCCTGCCCTGGGCAGGAACACCTCCCACCAGACCAGGTTGCTCAAGGCTTTATCCAGCCTAGAATGAACATGGACAGGGTTGGGCATCTACAACCTCCCTGGGCAACCTGTGCCAGTGTCTCACCACCCTCACAGGAGAAAACTTCTTCCTAATTTCTAATCTAAATTTCCCCTCTTTCAGTTTATCCCCATTACTCCTTCTCTTGTCACTGCAGTTGTAACAAAGAGTCCCTCTCCAGATCCTGGAAGATGCTATGAGGTCTCCACACAACCTCCTCTTCTGCAGGGTGAAGAGCCCCAACTTTCTCAATCTTTTGATTATGAGAACAGATAACTTTAAAATTAGCAGTTTCCCTTAGGATTCATCTAGCTTATGCTGCAGCATAGAGTCCTAATTCCTACTGAGTTGATCAGATGTTTTAGTTGTGGAAGTGAAATAGGCAATTTTCAGGCACAGATCATTAGATTTTGGAGGTTTAATTCAACTACAGATTCACAGACTTTCAGTCTTTTGTAATGTCTGCATATGGTTATCGACTTCTTTCATTGGCCTTAAAATATGCCGGTGGTGACCTCCAGAGTCTCTAACATCAGAAGGATGTGGAGCTGCTGGAGCGAGTCCAGAGGGGGCCACAGAGATTCTCTGAGGGTTGGAGCACCTCTGCACTGCAGCCAGGCTGGGAGAGCTGGGGGGGTTTACCCAGGAGAAGAGAAGCTCCAGGGAGACCTGAGAGTCCCTTCTGGTGCCTAAAGGGGCTCCAGGAGAGCTTTAGAGAGACAAGGATCTGGAGTGACAGGACAAGGGGCAGGGTTAGATGGGATATTGGGAAGGAGTTCTTGCTTGTGAGGGTGGTGAGGCACTGGCACAGGTTGCCCAGAGAAGCTGTGTCTGCCCCATCTCTGGAAGTGTTCCAGCCCAGGTTGGATGGGGCTTGGAGCAAACTTGTCTAGTGGAAGGTGTCCCTGACCATGGCAGGGGTTGGAACTTAAGGTCCCTCCCCACTCATCCCACAGGCATCCCATTCTGGGATTCTATGACGCAGTCACATTCGCTGTGTCCAGGAACATTCTCCCTGCCCTCAGGATGCCTTTCAAGAAAGACAGTTCTCTCCTGACTCCTCTGTCATTTATGTCAGCCTTGTGGAGATAGATATCTTGTATATTTTAAGGCATTTCCAATGACCCTAGATGTCTCCATTTAGGCAAATAAATGAATCCCTGAGTGTATGAGCTCCTGTGCAGTCAATGGAGTCCTGATCAATACAGTTAACACAATCTATGAGTGCTGTTCATCCCCCTTGAACGTAAACACCTGAGATTCAATTCTGCCCAGTTTGCCTCTGAATATTTCAGAATTTATTCCCTTTAGGAATGAAATGCTGATCTCTCTTATCAGAGCAGCACTTTCATTAATTTAGAGGAATACTTCAGCTTATGCTAACTATTTTTTAGAAATATGCAAATAATGTGTGTTGCCTATGGAAACACTTGGTCCTTGCCTGGCAAAAGGCTTGTTCAGAGGATCTGTGTGTGTGTGTATCCATGAGAGAATAGTTTGAGAACATGCATGTGGGTGCTAGAAAGGAATAAGGGGACCAGCATTTATTTCCCAATTGTATGATTAATATTATTTATAGGCATGATTGAACGTTTCAAATTGCCATTTGAATCTGTTTGGGTTTGAAGTTCCAAAGCAAAATAAAACTCTTTTAATACCTTTTGAAATTCCAATTAAGAGTCAGTCAAAACCCATCACTAAAAGAATAGGTTTTGGGTTGCAAATTAGCAATTCAAAAGTGACAAATATCTTCAATGCTTCAACACTTGTGCAATACTCATTGTGCTCAAATAATACTGTTTTTTTTTTTTTCTGGGAATGCGAATATGTTCCCCAGTATTCCCTTTTTTTTCCTTTCTCTTAGGAATGCCTCTGGAAGCTCTCTATCTCACTCCAAAGCTGCACTCCCTTCACCAGTACTGGGGATTATGCAAATTACTTCATGAATAGTTTAAAATCACATTCATGTTGTCTAGTTTCAAATTATTGCATTTTGCTTTTATGTTTCTTTTCCTACTGTTTTTTACTGGGTTTTTATACCCTCTGAATTTTATTTCATTATTTAAATTAATTATTTGAATTATTTATTTCTTTAGTTTTTTTACTAGAGTTGTAATAATTGGGGAAAGTAAACTTTTTTTGTGTGTGTGCTACAAAACCATGTGAAGTCTTGAACTGATGTTATTTCCCTGTTTTAGTAGTCATTGTCCATGTTATCCATGGCTTAAGGCATCCAGTGCTCTGGAGAACAGGCACTCCATGAGCTCACGTGTCTTAACTTTGGAATGTTATGTGGAGTTTTATTGTTAATATTTCTCTCCTTATGACAATTCCTCTGCAGAACTTAGCACCACTTTAGCAGAATAACAAACATCAGCTACTAAATGGATTAATACTGTGGAAAGCAATTTAGTGCTGTATTGCTGTGAATTATTGTCTCTTTACTTGCAGGTTGGTTTATTATGACAGAGATTTCAATTGTATCTGTTCTCGTGGATGTGAGGATTTATTGTGTGTGTGAGGTGGCAAAGGATTTGAGAAATGATGGGAACAGTTCACCAAGAGAGTAACATGTCTGTTGCTCAGGGAAAAGGAGGCAGAGTGAGTTCAGACAGAAACTGGAAGAGGAGAGTTTAACACTGAATCCCAGACTCATTTAGGCTGGAAAAGACCTCCAAGATCATCAAGCTGTGATCTATCATCACCTTGGCAACTAGACCAGAGCACTGAGTGCCATGTCCAGTCTTCCTTAAACACCACCAGTGATGGTGACTCTACCTCCTCCCTGGGCAGTCCATTCCAGTGTTTAACAACCCTTTCCATGAAGATATTCCTCTTGATGTCCAACCTTAACTTCCCCTGGCACAGCTTGAGGCTATATCCTCTCGTCCTGTCGCTGCTTGTCTGTGAGCAGAGCCTGATCCCACCTGGCTACAACCTCCTTTCAGGGAGTTGTAGAGAGTGAGAAGGTCTCCCCTGAGCCTTCTTTTCTCCAGGCTAAAGTGAAAGAAGTTCAGGGCACTACCCCAGGGAAAAGTGAAAGAACTGGTTGTGATGATGTAGGTCACTGGGTCAAATCAACAGGTCACAGAGTCACAGAATCATTTAGGTTGGAAAAGCCCTCTGAGATCATCAAATCCCACCATTCCCCCAGCACCAATACTAACCATTTCCCCAGGTGCTACATGCATTCTGCTTTTCAATCCCTCCAGGGATGGTGACTCCACCACGGCCCTGGAAAGAGAGATCGGGGAGGGCAATCAGTGAGATAATCCTAAATAATAGTTATTGATCAACACGAGTTAGTGCCAATTGCCCTGATCATCAGTAATTTCAACAGCACAGTTAGGGACTTATGGAGCATTAAAATCCTTGAAATAAATCCATGAAGAATAAACATTTCTACTTTATATTTGAAGTTGGACCTGTATCTGAACTCAAACCTCAGTTTCGGTTGTCTCCTTAATTTTTGCTTACTCATTCACACTCAGATGCTGGCCTAGGAATATTTGTGAGAACAATTTTGGATCTGCTCTATTCCTTGGCATAGATGAAATTGCTCTTTCACCACCCTCAGCATGCTTGCCCAGAATGGTCTCAGGTTCACCTGCTGCAGGCACAGCTGAAATTGTAGGCAGCTGGAGCTCAGACTTTCATTGGAATATTAAGGATTCACAGCACCGAAGTATTAGTGTTGGGCTGGTGTATTTTCTATGCTTCACGTGCAGATATAGATACAGATTTGGGATCTAACAGCCAACTCACAAACCAAGTTATATCACCCTTGGAAGCAGTTCAGTACAGCCTAAGTCTGCCCCGTTTGATGTGAATTCCAATGACCTCAACCACCAGAAAACTACTGAAAAGTGCCTGATTTTTTTTCTGCACAACATGTGTGGGTGAACACTGTCATGGGAAGTAGAGAAAAATCTAATTTTCTTCACTGAAAGGGTGGTCAGGCATTGGAATGTGCTGCTGAGTGAGGTGGTGGAGTTACCAACCCTGGAAGTGTTTAATGAGTGACTGGACGTGCCACTCAGTGCTCCTCTCTATTTGACATGGTGGTATGAGGTCACAGGTTGGACTTGATGATCTTGAAGATCTTTTCCACACTAAATGATTCTAGGATTGTGTAAGCATTGCATATGTCTGAATGCAGAAAATTAAATCAGTTTGCCATTAATACAAATCATTGTGTTTTGACAATTTGCTAATCAACTCAAGTAAAAATGGTGCTGCACAAATAGCCAATTGCCTTGTAAGTAGCTTTTTTTTCTCTGTCTGTGCATGAGAATTCTCCTTGGTTGGCTCTTTGAACCCTTAGAAGGTTTGTCCTTCTAAGGATATGTTGATAGTCAGAAGCATAAATAAAGCTTTATTTCAGTCATGCTCTGATGCAGAGTGGGTAAATACTTTATAAATACTCTTGGGAAACCCTTGACCAGCATGTGCTGCCCATAGGTGTTACATCCCCTATGGAATGTTTCAATTAATGTGCAAATGAACAATTTAGTATTGAGCAGATTTGGACATAACAGTATGTCTTTATACCATATTCAGGAATGGGCTGTTTCTGGGGAGCTGAGAGGAAGTTCTGGAGACAGAAGGGAGTCTACTCCACTCAAGTGGGTTATGCAGGAGGACATACTCCAAATCCTACCTACCATGAGGTCTGCTCAGGTAAGTCTTCCTCTTTGGCTTTTAAGGATTGGGAGTGAAACCCTGCCAGGTTATGAGGAATTGAATGAGTTACTGCAGTGACAAAAAAGATTTGGTGTTAGGTCAATGCTATATTGGCTTTGCTGTACTGAAGTCTATGTATGCCCATCCCATTGTTGTCTCCTAACAATTAATGAGTTAATGCATGCACAAATATTCTGAGGAAAGAAAAAGTTCTTCAGGAAGTGAATTCTCTTTCAAATGATGCAAGTATGTTCCTTAGAAAAAGTGTGAGTTCTTTAACTTTTGTCTGTATCTGAGTATGAACAAAAATTAAGACATTTCTCATTTCTGTTATCATTAATAACTTGTTAATTTTTTATACAGTTTAGTGCACAGTATGCTATAACTTCCAAGCCAAATCCTTGCATTTATTTGTCATTATACAGTGCTAATAACCCAACACAGTTTCTTTCTGTGACCTAAACCAGAACCACTTGCAGCCAACTGACTGATGTTGCTGTTAAAGTAACTCCTTACTTTCCTGTACTCACTGGTAGGGAACAGCTTAGGCATTTTCCTTTTGGTTTGTTTTCTTGTTAACACTTTTTTTGCCAAATACTGACATTGATGCAATGATCTCAGTGACAAACTGTCACATGGGCTTGGTGGAAAGGGTGTAAAAAGGTCAGTGGCAGCAACAAGCAATGGGCACTTTAGCTACTGTGCAGAAGTGCTGCAGGGCAGCCAAAAGGGCAGAAACTTGGTGGAAATAGTGACAAATGTGAACAGGGATGTTTTAAGGTAGAATAGAATAGAATAGAATAGAATAGAATAGAATAGAATAGAATAGAATAGAATAGTGAGAAATAGAAATAGAAATTAACAGAATGGAATGACATAGAAATAGAAGAGAAAGGAAGGAAATGGAATAGAAACAGAAAAAAGGGAAGGGAAAGGCAAGAAAGGAAAGGGAAGGCAAGGCAAGGAAAGGGAAATAGAAATTGATTATCATGGAATGGAAAACTATTTTTCCAGAATAGAATAGAATAGAATAGAATAGTGAGAAATAGAAATAGAAATTAACAGAATGGAATGACATAGAAATAGAAGAGAAAGGAAGGAAATGGAATAGAAACAGAAAAAAGGGAAGGGAAAGGCAAGAAAGGAAAGGGAAGGCAAGGCAAGGAAAGGGAAATAGAAATTGATTATCATGGAATGGAAAACTATTTTTCCATTTTCTGGTGACAAACACACAGATGAAAATCTGCAAAGGGATTCTGGAGCATGTGCAGGATTTTGAGCTATTTTCAGTGCATTTTCTAATACAGAAATACCCCATTTTTGGCCAGCATTAAACAATTCAGGATGTTCATTCAATATGAAACATCTTTTCATATTTGTCTTACAGATGTTCAGAACAATTCTCCTTATCTGTATATTCATAAGCTTTTAGAAATCTGCATAGCTCAAGTGGCACAGAAATCAGAAGGGAAAAACTCTGCTGTTGTTGTTCCTAAACTGGGGTTGAACAATTGCCACATAAAATACACAGCTAATGATGATTTTCTTAAAAATGGGGCAGTTTATAGGCTTGTGGTTCAGGCTGTTAACATCTGAGAAGGTCATTTTATTTTGCTTTGAGTTTTTTTTCTTTGTTTTTCTTCGGTGACTGTAATGTAAGAAAGAATATGAATATTTCTGTTTATTATATAGTATTAGTCAAAAGGCTTAGTGAACATAACAGCAGATTTAGCTAGTTAAACCAATTTCTAATCTAGTCAATTCTCCGAACCTTTCTGAAACATTTTCTCTTGTACACAAATCACAGTTCTCAATAATTAACAACTCAGTATAAAAATATGCCACATGGACTTTGTTGCTGCTTTGAGTTATGTAAAAGAGTTGACTGTGAAGTTGTTTCATATTTCCTAAGCAGCAAACCCACGTTTTTCTGAGGGATTCTATTGCCTCTTGCATATCAATTAGTCTTGTGAGTGATTCTTCTATGTAGGAGTTCCAGTTCTCCTTAAAAAGTCTTGGCTTCCTAAGGTCATCCAGAAGACTTCTAAATGGTGATGGAAGAGAGTGGAGAAAGGCAAAATCAATTTCTTGCTCTGTCACCTCCCATTCCATTGGTCAGTTGGAGATGTACCAAGTTAATTCAATCTCTATATCATCTTTGTACTCGAAAGAGAGAGCAAGACACCCAGCAAAGCCCACATACACTGAGGGAGGCCATGTGGTTGCTTTAAGGACAGAGATGCACACGGAGGGTTTGGTTGTCTGACATGGAGCTTATTGTACTTACTTATACATAAACATCTTGATCATTAAAGCCTCCACAGAAATCTGAGTGGCATTTTTGACAAGTTATTAATAGCAATATAGACAAATGTAATATGGGAAAGTAGTTCTCTCCTTCTCAGATTTCCCCTTCCCTACAAAACACAGGTGAATATCCTACGGCAAACTATCAGCATGTTTGTGGAATCACAGATGGTTTGGCTTGCAAGGAATCTTCAAGATAGTTTAGTTCCACCCCTTGCCATGGGCAGGGACACCTTCCACTAGCCCAAGTTGCTCCAAGCCCCATCCAACCTGGCCTAGAACACTTCCAGGGTTGAGGCAGCCACAGCTTCTCTGGGCAACCCGTGTCAGTGCCTCACCACCCTCACAGGGAAGAATTCCTTCCCACTATCCCATCTCTCCCTGCCCTCTGGCAGTGGGAAGCCATTCCCTGTGTCCTGTCCCTCTAGCCCTTGTCCCAAGTCCCTCTCCAACTCTCTTGGAATCCCTTTGGGCACTGGAAGTGGCTCTAAGGTCTTCCCAGAGCCTTCTCTTCTCCAGACTCTCCCAGCTCTCCCAGCCTGTCTCCAGAGCAGAGGTGTTACAACCCTGTGATCAACTTAGTGCCTCTCCTGACATTGAGACTTTACCTTAACTTGCTTGAAAAGCCTTCATTTGGACATCACAACACTATTCCAAAGTGGGTCCCACCTCTCCAAAATGTTTAAATGTATAATTAAACTACAAATATTCCCTTCACTTTCTGTAGCTTCTAAAGGGATCTGAAGGTTTTCATGAACAGGAACTAAGTGCACAAGATTAAAGTTTCCAAGCAGTAATGAGAATGGCTCAGATCAGTTTCTTTTATTATTAAATCCCTGTCAAGAGAATAGATTCCTGTTGTGCCTTTGTCTGTTCTTTTTTTCCCTTATAAGAACAGGATATAGGAATTTCAATGACTGTGAAGAATATCAGTGTTCACCATGCCCTTGATCTGTACAACATGCCTTGATAGGATTGGCCAATTGCTCCACCTCTCCCCTTTTTTTTCCCAGTTCACCTGTGAGGAAGGAAGGAAAGGTCAAGCCAAAGCATAAAATACTGTGTTGATCAAAGTTAATGTCATGTATTGTAGGTATTAGTGTTTTGTGTATTTTTTTGTAGCAATTGAAGAACAGGATTTTGTAGAAAATATGTAATTTCTATTAACTAGAGCAGAATAATAATGTATTTTTTATTAACTAGAGCTTAGAATAAGCTGTGTGTCTGTAATGATGAGATTATTGTCCTAGGACCCTCCTAGATGTGCAGACAAATCCTTGATATAGACATATAACCTATAATTTGTCCTCAATGCAATTGCTAAGTCATGAAATGAAATGAATGCACCAATTTCACTTCAGAAATCGTTTGGAAAGGTGATGACAGCTGCTGCTGCAACATTAAAGGCTTGGCAACAAGACATCTAACAGATGTGTTAAATTTCAGTTACCTGCTACACTGCAGCTCTACCTACAAAATCATTGACACTGACATTCCTGACGTGTTCTTTTTCAACAAAAAAGCTTCTTGTTGACCACGAAAAGTTCTTTGCACCTTAGAATCCAGGATCCAGAAAGGGACTCTGTGGATTCAGCATGTCAAAAGAAAAGGCAGGATAAATATTTTTCCCAAGCATTGACTGAAGAACAAAAACCTCCTTGTGCACAAGGGATGGCAGTGGCTCTGCTTAGGAGCTCTGCTGCATCTGTAATCAAGGTTGAGTTCACTTTTCCATTTCACATTTTGACTTCTCAGGGTTAATATCTTGTCTGGTTCAGGCTCAGAGAAACCAAACTGATATTTATTATTTAGATACCTGATTGTGCCTCGTGGCAAATTTGAAATCCTAATAGCCTTACTGCTGTCCTCTGTTCCTTTCATCTATTTATCTCTGCATTGCCCATAATCACAGGCTTAGGTTGTAGCAGCAGTATAAATACCAAATATATTATTTATTATTAACAACTTTATTTGAATTGTATTCCACTGAGATGTGTTGTTTCCATCTTTCTCATCTCCTGGTTTTATTAAAGATATATATATAAGTTGAAAATGTGATAGCCCCAGAGGTTGAAAGAGCCATTACAGAACAAGTCACAGACAAAATCTTCTGACCTGGAGCCTACACGAAGTTCCCAAAGGACTTTCCTTTTCAGAAGAGGCTCTGTTTAGGATTAAGCTGTGATGTTCACCATGTCACTGGCTCTGAAAACAGAAGATGCAGCATGAAGCTGCTTTTTTTAGGCATCAGAACATGGTGTATTTGAGAAAAAGATGTTACAAAAAGCTTTTCTATTGTTATTGTGGCCAGTGGGGTTTTCTTACTTTTTGGGTTTGCTATGGAGACACTTGTAAAGAAGAAATAAGCTCCAAAGCCAATCTAGTCAGTGTACCAAACTGTCCTCTCAGAGGTAGTGGTTACTGCTCGTGGTAACCCCATTGAGGTCGCCTGTGTCTTTTTGTGTCTGTAAGAACCTTTCTTGGTATGTAATATTTGAAGTGTCTTGTGCTAACTGGTACTGCAAGTCAAGTCAAAGAGGAAAGCAACAAGAAAAAGAATGTCATGGAGGTAGAGATCAAAGATGGAGGAAACTGAAGAGGGACTTTGGACAAGGGCATGGAATGACAGGACAAGGGGGAATGGCTTCACGTTGACAGAGGGCAGGGTTGGGTGGGAGACTGGGAATGAA